GAACACCGTGAGAGATGGTACCCTTAATGTACCCAAGAATCCGCTTCAAAGCATTGAAATGGGACTCGCGAGGATCATGCATAAAAAGGCAGATTTGCTGAACTGCAAAAGAGATGTCTGGAAGAGTAAAGGTCAAGTACTGAAGAGCACCAGCGAGGCTGCGATAAATAGTGGGAACTGAGACCGGAGGGCTATCGGTGGCCGCGAGCTTTTGCTTCGTATCAACCGGAGTCAGGCAGGGATTGCAGTTCGTCATGTGAGCGCGATGGAGAATGTCAGCAGCATAGTTTTTCTGATGAAGAAACAGACCAGCGGCAGTGCATTTGACGGTGATGCCAAGAAAATGATGGAGAGGCCCTTGATCAGATATTTCGAACTTAGAGCTGAGGCTGTCGGTAATGCGACGCAGCAGAGCAGGAGACGAAGCCGTAAGAACAATGTCATCTACGTATAAAAGGAGATAAGCCAGATCGGACTCATAGCAGAGCACAAACAGCGACTGGCCCATAGTGCTTTGCTTAAAGCCAAGTCATCGCGCATAGGTCGCAAAGCGCGTATTCCACACCCGAGGTGCCTTCTTAAGGCCGTAAATAGAACGCTTCAAGAGGCATACGTGATTCGGTTTACTCTTGTCGACGAAACCAGGAAGCTGACGCATGTATACGGTTTCCTCAAGATAGCCATGGAGGAAAGCGTTTTTGATGTCTAGCTGGTGGAGCGGTCAATCACGAGCCAAAGCAATATCTAGCACCAGACAAATCGTGACCGGCTTGACCACAGGGCTAAAATTCTTGTCACAGTCCGCGCCAGGTTGCTGAGATTTGCCATTCGCGACAAGAAGAACTTTGTAGTGGTTGAGAGTTCCATCTGCATTGAATTTATGCTTAAAGAGCCACATAGAACACAGAATGTTAGTATTCTTTGGGCGTGGCACAAGAATCCACATTCCACGTTTGATAAGAGCACCATGTTCCACATTCATGGAATTATTCCAAAATGGATCCTTAGCCGCATGTACATGAGACAATGGTAAGGGAGAAATTGTGGTATCCGTATGGAGGCACAATGGAACGCGTGGTTTAACGATGCCGCTTTTACCTCGAGTGATCATGGAATGAGTGTTTTGGGAAGGAGCATGAGAAGGTGTGGCTGGAGGAGGAATGGGAGAAGGTGGAGGTGAGGGTGGTTTTTGTGTGATTCGAGGAATGGGAGGTGGGGATGTGAGGAGTGGAGGAGTTGGTGTGACAGACGAGGTGGAGGTGGAGAAGGGAAATACTGTCTCGTCAAAGGTGACATGGCGGGAGAGTATGACACGTCGAAAAGTGACGTCGTGATACCAATAGCCGCGGTGGTCCGTTGGGTAACCGAGAAAAACGCATGGCATTGATCATTTTGCGAGCTTATGCAGTGAGGTCGTCAAGAGATTAAGGTAGCAGAAGCATCCAAACGTGCGGAGATGATGGTAAGTGGGCACCTTTTCGAACAGCTTCATGTAGGGCACGTCATTGTTGATCGCCATGGATGGAAGGATATTGAGGAGATGGGCTGAAGTGTGCAAAGCTTCGACCCAGTAAGCAGCAGGAACAGAGGTTTGAAAGAGAAAGCTGCATACCATGTTGTTGAGAGTACGGAGCATCCGTTCAGCGCGACCGTTCTGTTGTTGATGTATGAGGGTAAGAGAACCGGAGTGAGGTGCCTGAAGATGCCAAGTGTTCCTTGAATGCACGATTGTCATACTCCCCACCGTTGTCACATTGTAGTGATTTGATTTTGTGATTGAATTATGTCTGCACATAAGAAGAAAAGTGTAAGTATTTTCAAAGGTATTGTTTTTACAATGGAGTGGATAAACCCATACAAAATGTGAGTATTTATCAAGAAATATGGGGTAATATTTAAGCCCACTAACATTTGGAATAGGGGATGTCCAAATGTCTGGATGCACAATATCAAAGGGATGAGAAACAATAGTAGTTGAATTAAAAAATGGTAAACGAGTGTGCTTAGCAGTCTGACATGCTTGACACAACGAAGTAAGTCGGTCTTAGGAATTAAAATAGCAGAAAAAGATAAAATGCGAAATAAGGTAGAGGGACTACGGTGGCCGAGGCGGCGATGCCAAATGGTGCTATCCAGTGACGAGGCAATGAGAGCATGGGGAGACGTGGATGGTGGAGATGGTGTCACTAAATAGAGGGGTCCCGAGCTGTTACATCGGAGAAGTTTGGTCCGAGTATAGAGATCTTTGATACAAAATCCAAACGGGTCAAATTCAATGGCACAAGAATTCAGTAACAAATTTTCGAACAGAAAGGAGATTTTTGATAATAGCAGGGCAGACTAAGACGTTACGGAGAGCAAAAGAGCGAGAAGGAGAGAGGAGAGTGCCATAACCCATGGTTTTTACAGTGGCATAGGAACCGTTACCAAACGGTAACAAGTGGTAAGATGCTCGAATTAAAAATGGATTGTAGATTACCTGTGGTGGAAGCAATGTGGTTGGATGCACCAGAATCCATATACCAGTTGTTGTCTGGTTCCTGCAACGTCATCATGTTGAACGCATGAGTGAGACTAGAAGGGAGCTGCGTTACGGAGGATGACGATGTCGGAGGCGAGAAGACGTGAGCCATGTGAGATTCACTGGTGGGTCGAGAAGGGTGAGGACCGAGTATACCAGAGTGAGCTGGATGCACAGGCTGAGTAGGAAACGAGCCGGGTGAAAAATCCGAGAACCGATGTGGTGGTGGTGCAGTGGCAAAGGGCGGAGGCTGCTGCCACGGCTGTGGGTAGTAGGACCAAGGAGAGAATGGCTGTTGGGGCCAGTTGTTGTTGAAACATCCCTTGTTACGGAAGCGACCATTGCTCTTACGTCCTCGATTGCCACGACCAGAGTTGTTCCCATTGTTACCGGAGTGACGTAGAGAATCATCAGAGGAAGTAAACAAGACGGTGTAGGACGACGGTGTGTCGTGATGAGCCGCACTTGGTTTGATTTGTCGTGAGGGAAGCTCCTCCTCAAACTGTAACATAGATCGAGCTTCGAGGAAGCTTGGGAATGGCGACCGATGTTTGATGACGTTGATGATGGAGTCGAACTTGTCAGACAAGCCATTCAAGAGAGTCATCACCAGTGCACGTTCGGTGACTGGGGAGTCAATGTTGGCGAAGAGATCAGCAGTGGTCTTCATCTTTTGGCAGTAATCATGGACCAAGGATCACCAATCACCATCGTACGGAGCTCGTTTTCCAATTGGAGAGCACGAGCTTCCTTGTTATCTCAGAAAAGATTCTGGATGGCAAGCCACAGATCACGAGCAGTGGCGTTCTTCTTGAGGATGGTGTCGAGAATGGTCTCAGATATGGTTCCGTAGATCCACATCTTAACGATGCCATCACGCGCCTTCCACTCAATGTTGGTCGAGGAGGTTGGTGTGGAGGAGCCATCGATGTGTCCTAAGACACCAAAGCTGATACAATGAGTCTCAAAGAGCTCGCGCCACTTGTCGTAGTTGAGCTTGGCCATGTCAAGGGAGATTGGAATATACGCTTTGATCTGCGTAATTCCAAAAGGTTTGTCATTGGACGAAGTGGTGGCTGTTGGGCAGCCATGACGAGATGGAGAAGACGGAAATGGGAAGAAGAAGAGAGATGTGGAAATGAAGCAGAGAGAAGACAAAGAAGAAAGCGGAGATGGATCGATCACTTAGCTTGGTGGCTAGGGTAAAATCCGTAGAGATCTCATTCATTAGGAGGAGTACATATATAGGGTACAAAGGAATGTTCTAGAGAATATTTACGGTATATCCTGTATAAGGAATATTTACATATTCGATGGTATGCGATTTACGCTATCAGATCCGATTTTGAATTCTCAAAGAAGAAGACTCAATAAGTTGGATCATCTGGAGTTGTTACCAATAAATTCTCAAAGAAGAAGAATCTAAAAGACTTAGAAAGTTCGAAAGAAAAGGTAAGTAGCGAAGAAAACGCTTTAACATTCAAAACTAAGCAATTCCAGAAATTTTCATGAAGCATCGTCGCTTCCTCAGTCACTTTTTTGCCTTCTCTCATTACATTCAAAACCTCAAAACCCCTTTCTAAGAGACTAAAAGATTCCATCAGAAGAAGGAATGCAAGGGGACCCACTCAAGGGGAACATACAACAAATGTTTGCTTCTCTCTTCATCTTTTCGTCTCTATATCTGCTATACTTCATTATACGCGAGTGTTATAAGAGACGAAAAGATTCCAAAAAAGAAGGAGACAATAGAAGCGCAACGGCGTTGAACTGTTCGACCAGTATAGGAATGCAAGGGGACCCATAACTCAAGGCAGCAGTGACGATGTCGAGATAACACTCTTCATTTCGGGTTATGAGGCGTGCTAGGACAAGGCTCTTGTTGTAGGTGGGCTGAGCACAGCCCCCTTTTTCGTAATTCCACAAAAAGCCCGTTAAGGTCAAAGATCAACAAGCCCATTCGCGAAGAGCAAAACGAGGTCGTTCGGGTAGATAACCCAACAAAGTCTAAGGAGCAGCTCGCCACGTCGATATGGTTGGGACAGCTCGCCACGTCGACAAGGATGAAACAGCTCGCCAGCACGACGCTCCGATAGACGGTCGGTCAGGTCTATATGCCCGGCCGCCCAAGCTACTCTGACCGAGATGTAACCTAATTTAAGCACTATAAATAGCCCTGTAACTTCATTTATTACGGGATCCGTAATCCGAAATATAAACAAGAACACTCAAGACTTAAATCTTTAACTCTTACCTCGCTTACCTGACCTCGTAATACCACCTCGAAGACTTCATATCGATCTCACCTCTATTCAAACAAGAATCTCCGAGCTCCACCTAGAAATATTTACCAAAGTGACCTCGCGTGCGAAAATAATACAACAATTGGCGCCCACCGTGGGGCTAAGAGATTTCTTTCTACGCAAAGAGGAGCTCGATAATGTCAGGAATTCAAATCAACAAAACAACTAACCTACCCATGTCAACTATTGCCGAGGAAGGACTTCCTGTGTCACCAGTTAACAATCCGGAGACCTCGAATGAGCAACCATCAACGATGAATCCCGTGGAAAACGCAACTTCAGACCCAGAAGCAGAAGACGCGAATCGAAGCACACCAACAGCTCCTACCGACGTCACAACGTTGTTTGCAACAATGATGGCTCGAATGGAAGAGCTGAATCGTCAAACAAGCGCTCGCCTGAACGAGCTCGCCGCGGCACAACTTTCTTGCCAAGATCAAGTCAACACGTTACATTCCTCAGAGACCCAAGCCCCAGAGAGACGAGCTCAAGAAATTCAACGAGTACAACGCGCCTTATTCGGAGACTCCCCCGCTCCGCCAACAACAGAAAATCATCCGACCTCGAACTGCGACGAGGTGAACATCGGAGCTCCCGAACACGAAACACGTCGGCTTCAAATAAGAAACTCGCAGCAGGATGAAGAAATGCTCGAAATGAGAGCCAAATTGCGAGCCATGACTACACTTGTTCATCAAGCAACTAGCTCGGCACCTGAGATCGATCGTGTGTTGAAAGAAAGTCAAAGCACACCATTCACGACTCGAATCACCGATTTTCCAATTAGAACTCAAGTAAAGTTCAACCTCCCGACATATACAGGCAACTCGGATCCGAGTCAATTCATGACCGCGTTCAGCATTCAAATGGGCCGAGCACGATTCACTCCCGAGGAGAAGGATGCAGGTTTCTGCCAACTATTCGTCGAAAATCTAAGCGGCGCGGCCCTCGTCTGGTTCTCCAAATTGAAAGTGAATTCGATTGACAGCTACCAAGCACTGTCAACGGCATTCCTCAAAAGGTACATGATGTATATCCAAGGCGCAGTCTCCAGCGCCGACCTCTACCAGATCAAACAGGGCGAAAAAGAATCCCTTCGGTCATTCATCGGCAGGTTCAACGCGATCGTCTCTCGAATCACCGTAACTGACGAGGCATCACTGCCAGCCCTTCGGAATGCCCTTCGAATCGATTCAAAGTTTCGAGACAGTCTCAAGTTCAACAAACCCCGTACTCTCGAGGACGCACTTCATCGTGCCACCTTATACAGCGAGGACGAGGAAGAAAAAGAGAGCGCGTCGTCAGCAAAAGCGACGCCGAAGCAGCAGCCTCACAAAGAGACCCCCAAACAAGAATATCAGGAGCCTCGACAGCACCTCGACAATAATTATCGAAGTGACAATCGCCGAGGAGCAACGTACAACATCAGCACTCAACAGCAACAGAATCGCCAGTACCAAAACCAATCGAACACCTGGCAGCGGGGAGATCACGGAGAGACACGGCCTTTCTGCGATTATCACAACAAATACGGTCACCCGACTGCGATGTGTCGCGAGCTACAGGCTTATTTGCTCGCCAAATATCGCAAGGGGGAGATCGCTTTATCAAACCAGCCCCAAAACACTGTGACACGAAACAAAGGAACTCGACCGACGGCTCCCGCCGAGCAGCTTCCACCTCCTCACCCAAGGAACGAACAACCCAACGACGACATTGCGAAGAGAGACCGTGAAAACCAGCTTCGAGGTGATACCCCTCCGGCATCTCGAAAGAAGGTTTTCTTTATCATGGGAGGCCTATCGACGTGCAACGATTCCGTCAGGTCGATAAAAAAGTACGGCCGCCAGGTCATGCTCGCACAAAAATGGCAAGTTAAAAGTCCTAAGACCGCCGATTGCGGTGCAATCACCTTCACCGAGGCCGACACCGAGGGAGTCGACATGCCGCATAACGATCCGCTTGTGGTCGAACTGCGTATCGCCGATTGCGAGGTGTCTCGGATACTGGTTGATACAGGGAGCTCGGTCGACCTGATTTTCAAAGAAACACTTGACAAAATGGATGTGGCGAACCATCATCTCAAGTCTTCGATTAAGCCACTCACAGGATTCGATGGAGATACGGTCTACTCAATCGGGACGATCAGACTCCCAGTTTACGCGGCAAAAACGACCCGCCTCGTCAAATTTGTTGTCATCGATAAACCTGCCATCTACAACGTAATTCTAGGTACGCCCTGGTTGCAATCCATGAAAGCGGTGCCGTCGACCTATCATCAATGCCTCAAGTTCCCAACCGCGTTCGGGGTAAAAACTATTCGAGGCTCTCAGGAGATATCGAGACTCTGCTTCGCTGCAGAGCACAAGCTCCGATTCAAATCCACGATTCCAGCCAAGGTATGTCTCACGATTTTACCCGTAACTCAAGTCGATTTGCCAACTCAAGAAAGACCGAAGCAAGAGCTCATCGTCCAAGTGAACATCGATGAAAGCGACCCCGAACGATGTGTAGGAATCGGAGCCGATTTAAAGGAGGAGATAAAGGTTGAACTCGTAAGACTTCTTCGCCAAAACGCGTCGACGTTCGCCTGGTCAGTAAGCGATATGCCAGGGATCGATCCCTCAATCACCAGTCATGAGCTTAACATCGACCCAACGTTTAAACCGATCAAGCAGAAGCGAAGGAAGTTAGGTCCAGAAAAGGCGCAAGCCGTCAATGACGAGGTCGAACGTCTATCAAAGGCTGGCTCGATCATCGAGGTTAAATACCCCGAGTGGTTAGCCAACCCGGTCGTCGTCAAAAAGAAAAATGGGAAGTGGCGAATTTGCGTGGATTTTACCAATCTCAACAAGGCATGCCCCAAGGATAGTTTCCCCTTGCCACACATCGACCGAATCGTCGAGGCAACCGCCGGAAACGAGCTCCTGTCGTTTATGGACGCCTTCTCCGGTTACAACCAAATCACGATGCATCCCGAAGATCGCGAGAAGACGTCCTTCATCACCGATCGAGGTACTTATTGCTATAAGGTAATGCCGTTCGGCCTGAAGAACGCGGGCGCGACATACCAACGACTAGTCAACCACATGTTCGCCGAGCAGTTAGGACGAACAATGGAGGTTTACATCGATGATATGCTTGTCAAGTCACTCACCGCCGGTGATCACATCGCCCATCTGCAAGCCTGCTTCACCGTTCTAAATCAATACCAGATGAAGCTCAATCTGACTAAGTGTACCTTCGGGGTAACTTCTGGAGAGTTCCTCGGCTACATCGTCACTAAACGAGGAATCGAGGCAAATCCGAAGCAGATCGATGCCCTGATCAGTCTTCCATCGCCTCGCAACACTCGCGAAGTCCAACGTCTCACCGGCCGGATCGCGGCACTTAACCGTTTCATCTCTCGATCAACGGATAAATGTTTGCCCTTCTACCAGCTCCTCCGAGGCAACAAGCGTTTTGAATGGGACAGCAAATGCGAAGAAGCTTTTCAACAACTCAAGGAATACCTCGCCAGCCCTCCAATTTTGGCAAAACCGGAAACAGGCGAAACCCTCTACCTCTACATCGCGGTGTCGAGCTCAGCGGTTAGCGGCGTCTTGGTCAAAGAAGATCGAGGCGAGCAGAAACCGATTTTCTACGTTAGTAAGACTCTCGACGACGCAGAAAAACGGTATCCAACTTTGGAGAAGCTCGCACTCGCGGTCATTATGTCCGCCAGAAAGCTACGACCCTACTTTCAATCCCATTCAGTCGTTGTCTTGACCAATCAACCGCTTCGAACGATATTGCACAGCCCGAGCCAATCAGGCCGCATGGCAAAATGGGCTGTCGAGCTAACGGAATACGATATCGAGTATCGCAATAAAACAAGCGCCAAATCGCAGGTTCTCGCGGATTTTTTGGTCGAGCTTCCTCTAGAGCTAATCCAGACCGATCTACCTGATGAGAAGTGGTCCTTGTACATCGACGGATCTTCCTCAACTCGAGGCGCAGGTTTAGGCATCCACCTAGAATCTCCGACGAAGGAGATATTGGAGCAATCATTCCGGCTCGAATTTCCAGCCTCCAATAACGAAGCAGAGTACGAGGCCTTACTCGCAGGACTACGCCTGGCGCAAGGAATCGGGGTCAAAAAGATCGAAGCTTTCTGCGATTCCCAACTCGTTGCCAGCCAATACAGCGGCGACTACGACACAAGAAACGACCGGATGGACCTGTATCTTAAAGCCGTTAAGAGCCTCGCCAATCGCTTCGAATTTTTCTCACTCACTAGAATTCCGCGCAGCGATAACACTTCGGCAGATGCACTAGCCGCCCTCGCATCGACGTCCGAACCACATCAACGGCGTGTAATCCCGGTCGAGAGCATCGATTCCCCCAGCATCGTCTTACCTGGAGGAGTATGCGCGGTTCAGGAGCTCGAAGCCAACAGATTAGACGCCATCGAATTACCTCCCCCCGAGGTCATAGATGAGCCCGCCGAGCAAGAACCAACAACCGAAGACTGGAGGATTGAAATACTGCTCTACATTACGGATGGCCAAGTCCCAGACGATCGATGGGCAGCGAGGCGTTTAAAAGTTCGTAGTGCTAAATACATTCAATCACACGGCAATCTTTATCGTTGGAGCTCGACAGACGCTCTACTCAATTGTCTTCACGGTGAAGCGACGCTCGATGTCATACGAGAAACGCACGAAGGAGCATGTGGAAATCACTCCAACGGTCGAGCTCTCGCCCTAAAAATCAAAAACCACGGTCATTTTTGGCCGACAATGCTTACCGATTGCGATCGGTTCGTAGCTCGCTGCGAGCAATGCCAACGACATGCACCCACGATCCACGCACCAGCCGAACTCCTAGCTGCATCCTCACCACCTTACCCCTTCATGAGATGGGCAATGGACATCGTGGGTCCCTTACCTCGATCCCGACAGAAACGATTCATACTTATCGTCACCGATTATTTTACGAAATGGGTCGAGGCCGAGTCCTATGCCAAAATCAAAGCAACCGACGTGAAGAACTTCGTCTGGAAAAACATCATATGCCGTCACGGACTGCCCTACGAGATCGTCACCGATAATGGTCCCCAGTTCATCTCCGATGTATTCGAAGACTTTTGTGCCAAGTGGAAGATACGACTTAGCAAATCTACACCGCGATACCCGCAAGGGAACGGACAAGCCGAGGCGACCAACAAGACTATCCTCGATGGCATCAAAAAGCGACTCGAGGATAAGAAAGGCTTATGGGCAGATGAGTTAGACGGAGTTTTATGGTCACATCGAACTACACCGCGAAGATCGACGAATAAAACTCCTTTCTCATTGTCACATGGCATAGAAGCTTTGGCTTCGGCCGAGGTCGGTTTACCAACCATACGTAGAGCGATGTTGACACAAGACACAAAAAAGAACGGAAGAATGATGAAGGATAGCCTCGATATGCTCGAAGAGGAGCGGGATCACGCCCTGTTACGTATGCAAAATTATCAGCAGCAAATCTCACGATACTACAACAAACGCGTGAAAGGAAGGCACTTCGAAGCCGGCGACCTCGTCCTTCGAAAAGTGTTCGAAAACACCGAAGAATACCATGCCGGAAAACTAGGCGCGAAGTGGGAAGGCCCCTACCAAGTCACCAACGTCGTGAAACCTGGCGTCTACGAGCTGATGACGATGGACGGTGAAATGCTTCCTCGATCTTGGAACTCGATGAACATTAAACGGTACTTCTATTAAATCAAAAAAAAAAAAGGACGCTCACCAAGCTATACTCGGTCGAGCTATATCTCGAATGTGAACTACGATCGGCTTGATCCCAGTTTGTTGGGTACGTAGGCAACCTCTAACGAGGTACAGCTATTAATAAAATTTTATTAATACAAACTTTCACGTCGACATCTTTCACTTTGACATCTTTTACATCGACATCCTAGCTAGATGTTAGATCTTTTAATACGCATTTCCTTACAATGTAAACTCTTAACAAATCCTAAGGAACAAAAACCTTACGATTATAAGAGAATAAGCCGGGACCAGTCCCGCGTCCTTTCCTAAATCACCCGAATAACTACGTCGAGATCATTCTCACTATTCGGACACGATTAGCGAAATAAAACAGGGTAAGCCGAGTCATACCTCGCACCTATTGTCTTTTAAGCCGAGTCATACATCGCACCTCGCATTCGTTGTTCCCTTAATTTTATCTCGTATTAATTATCTTATTAAAAAGATTTCCTATTCACATCGGTCTAATTTTCGAAACAAGTCTTTACCTCGTATTAATCGTTTCGCTTTATTTAAATCTACCTCGGGTTTATTATCTTTTATTGCGAGCTGATACTTTGGAAAAGAATATTCATTGATGAGATTAAGTCGAGTCTTTACAAACGAGGCAACATAACAAAATAATAAGTAAAAGGAAAAAAGGTAATAACGCATGAAAGAAAGATAGGTGAGATCTACTCGTCAGGCTGATTGCCACCCTCGCGGTCCTCTTCATCCTCATGATGCTCCTGATCCTCAGCCTCGTCATGAGTGGAACCACCGTCCGGAGTCTCGGGGTATTGCGGGGGCATGTCGCCTTCCTGAAGATCAGATAACCGAAGTCCTTCAAGTTTCAGCTCGCAATCGCGCATGGTCGCCTCGAGATCGGCCCGCAACTCGACTTCGGTCATCTCTTTGTCCTTCAAGAGATCAAGGCACTCAAGAGTACCTCGAGCCTGAACAAGTTCTAACTTCACCTTCACGATGGCCTCCTGTTCAGCGATAAAGGTCCTCAATCGATCTATGCGACCCGAGAACTTGTTCTCCGCATCTACCCAAATCCGAGTAGTCTCGGATTCTATCTTCTCCTCGGCATGACGCTTGACGCGAGCCACTTCGGATGCAACCACTTTCTCAGCCTGGAGCTTCGCTTCGTTGACCGTTTGCAGGTTGCTGATCAGATCCTGATTTTCCACTTTCAGCTCTTCGATCTTGTCAGTCAGCGTCTTCACACCTTCTTCCAATTGCTCGGAGCGTCTTTTTTCGACCTGCCACTTCTCTTCAGCTAACTTTCGTCGAGCAAACGCAGCGTCGCGCTCTTCCACAGCCCTCTGCCCAGCGGACTGAGCATTACAAAGCTTCGTAGCAGCAGCTCGAAGTGTTCGATGATATCGACCACGCGCGCGGTTACAGCTCGCGATGAACTGATAAAACGTAAGTTATATCGAGATCGAAGCAGAGGTAAAACTTAAGTCGGAAATATGAAACAAAATTCACAACATACCTTGAAGGCATAGCCCGCCATGTCCTTAAAGACCGCGTCATCAGCAGCGGGAACCTCGGAGGTAGACCCCTTTATCAGTCCGAAGAGCTCGGCACATTTGTCAGCATTATTGACAAGAGGCACCCCGGATTCAGGATAATCAAATTTGAAGCTCCAATCGACCTCCGGAGCCTTACCGTCGCCGGTGGGGCCAACCTTCGACCTTTTTTCCGGTTCCTCGGGATCACCGTCTACAACCACCTCGCCAGAGGGTCTCTTCCTCGATTCATCCTTCGCCGCCGACTCAGCGACATCGGGTTGATTCACCTCCTCGGCGAGCTGGGCGGTCTCGACCTCATCCTTCTTCTTCTTCTCTCTTCTCTTCTGCTTCTTCGCCTCCTTTCTGGCACGCCTCGCAGCTTCATCAGGCCCCTCGGCGACGAGCTGACCTTCCTCTTGAGCCCCCACCTCAGGCTCTGCCGATTGAGCGCGACATTCAGCAGGACCGCTATCTCGACGAGCCTCGACCTCACTAACTCGAGGTGCAGTAACTTGGGTCAAACGACCCGGTTGAGCGGGAGATTCCCGACTTCTATTTCCCCCGCTGCTGCGACTGGCCCTGAGCCTCGCAGCAAGACTGGGCGCGTTGACTTGAACTGGAGCCATCGCAATCGCTCTCTCCCTTAGAGAATTTTCTCTTCTCCAACTAGCTGGAATTAAAAGAAGTGTTAGACGACATAAAAACTCAACTTGGAATATCGACGAGGTCGAACTTTACCGTTTGTAATACGAGAAATGGCAGCCTCGACTCTTCGGCGATGGATATCGGGCCAGTGCTGTATCCCAACAGCCCTAATCTTCTGAATATTCACGTGGAAATTCTCCGGGAAAGCCTCGAGTTGGACGTTTCGATCTGCCAAAGAAAAATAAGGAAACATCAGCTAAAGAAAGGGAAAACTCGAAATACGACCAAATTAGCGATCTACCGATGCTATGACTCCACTCATTCCTAAAATTTCTGGTCGTATCGACGACCAGTGCCTCATCCACTTTAGCGAAAAAGAAAGACGCCTCCCAGCTTGGCGTCCTGTTGACGGGATAAACCAAGGAACAGTCTTTCCTAGCCTTTATCGTATAGGTGCCCGGGATCGAGTTGTTTTTCTGAACCGTAGTCATCTCCTCGAAGAAACGCCAGTCCACATCGACCCCGACCTCGCTCCCAAATAATAGGGCCGCAACCATGAACCGAATTCCAGCCGGAAGGATTTGTGAGAACCCGATGCCTCGACGATGGACGTAATCCGTCAACAACCTCGGCAGAGGCATCCAGAGATGACAAAGGCTGAACCACGCTTCGTAGAGCATGACCCAACCCACCGGTGCATGCCATGGTCGATCTTCAGGTCCCGGTGCCATCAACTCACCGCGAAAACCGTACCGCAGCCGAAATTCTTCGAGGCGTTGAGCCATCATCTGCGATGGAATGTGAGCTAGTCGATTCCCGATGGCCCCCTTACGCTTGGAACCTTTACGTCGAGGTCTGACTTCCCCACTTTGATCTTTTTCCTCACCTTGCCCATCTTCTTCCTCACCCCCTTCGTCGACCTCATCTTCGACGTGCTCAGAAGCCTCCCCATCACGTCGGTCCACCTCGAAAGGAACTATTTGAAGTTCCGTCGTAGCGTCACCTCGCGGAGATGCTCCATTAGAACGAGCCCGATCTGCTAATTCAACCAGCGGAGATTCTCCTCGATCCGATTGGGTGTCGGATCTCGAAGATACCTCGGGAGAGGAGCTAGAGCTCCCAGAGTTTTCCTGTTCGGATCTAGAGCCAGATTCTAAACTAGACTCGATGCGCTGACCCCCCGAAGACATTATTTCGATGTCGGATAATGATGGAAATAAAACAGCGAACGGACGAATTCTAGAGAGAGAAAGGAATTCTAGAGAGAAGGGAGAGCAAGATTACCTCTTGTAAGCGGAAGAAAGTGAGAAGAAGAGGAGGAGATCATCATATATAAGGAAAGAAAAAGGCGGTTACCGAGAAAAGTAATCGAGACCCGGACGCTTCCCAGTACTTAATTTAATGACGGATTCCACGCGCTTCCACTCGCAACTCTTCGTAACCCAAGACAACCGTTTCCTTTTGCGACCTTTCGCTAATCAAGACGACCGTTGCTCTTTGCAAATCCAAGTACCGTCTCGATTCTGAAGACCTAACATCGACGTCGCTAATCAAGACGACCGTTGCTCTTTGCAAATCCAAGTACCGTCTCGATTCTGAAGACCTAACATCGACGTCGAGGTACAAGGAAATGAAAGTTCTCCAGCTCAACACGTTGAATATCGAAGTAACATCTCCATCAATGGACTGCCCGTTAAGGTCAAAGATCAACAAGCCCATTCTCGAAGAGCAAAACGAGGTCGTTCGGAGTAGATAACCCAACAAAGTCTAAGGAGCAGCTCGCCACGTCGATATGGTTGGGACAGCTCGCCACGTCGACAAGGATGAAACAGCTCGCCAGCACGACGCTCCGATAGACGGTCGGTCAGGTCTATATGCCCGTTCGCCCAAGCTACTCTGACCGAGATGTAACCTAATTTAAGCACTATAAATAGCCCTGTAACTTCATTTATTACGGGATCCGTAATCCGAAATATAAACAAGAACACTCAAGACTTAAATCTTTAACTCTTACCTCGCTTACCTGACCTCGTAATACCACCTCGAAGACTTCATATCGATCTCACCTCTATTCAAACAAGAATCTCCGAGCTCCACCTAGAAATATTTACCAAAGTGACCTCACGTGCGAAAATAATACAACAGCTCTCAAAAAACCGTGCACAAGGGAAAGCTTCCAGATGGTACTCGGCACTCGGGGTCTTGTTAGTGGATCTCATCACAGCAAGGAAACCAACCACTATTAATAACAACTTTTGTTCTCTCACGCTGTGAAAGAGAACAGAGTGGCGACTGAATTTGATTCAAGGCTGCAAAGAAAATTCCATGCCGATCATGTCACAGCTGTGTCGAGATTAGCCAGGAGATGTGTGTGAAATCTAGCTCCCGTCTAACAAAAATGGTGGTACGAGACAAAAATAAAAATGTGGCCCTTTGTAAATTACAAATTTTGCAATAACAATAATCTTCTTTGCATTTCTAAAAATACTTCCTACAAATTGTTGAATTAATATATATATATATAAAGGATGTTAAAGATAACTAAATAGATTAGTATATATAATTTTAAAGCATTTATATACTTAACATCTCTTGATATTATAATAATATTAAAAAAGCCACGAAAAATATAAATAAAAAATATAATAAAGTAAAATATATTTAAGTTTTACGTATAGGTAGGAAAGTGACAATAAAACCAACAAAACAAATTTTATATATAAAAATTAGCCAACTCTCTCCAGTTGAGCGACACGTCAGCATTGAAGAGAGCGTCACCTATCCTCTTCAAATATTAATAAAATAAATAATTAATCATATTTAAAGCAAACACATTAAAACACAGTAAAGAACATAAATAAATTTAATATATATATTTATATTAGAATGAAATTTAAAAATAATTTAAAAATATAAATATTATATAATACAAGACTTTTAAAATGCACAATTCTATTTTCTTTTTTCAAATGTTCTAAATTTCATTTACAAACTAAAATTATAATTAAATTTTAATGCAAGTGAAAAAACTTATGAAACTGAATAAGTTAAAAAGTTTCAAATAATCTTATATAAAAATTCAACTAATAAAATTATAAAACACAAAGAGTATTTAATAAACGATTAAAAAAGATTATTAAAAATAATAGTGAAAAGAAAGGTATCCACATAAAAATGTCATATATGGTTTTTAAAAAATAATAAAAAGATGGAATCAATAAAATATATATAACCAAAAAAAAAATCAAATGGTAAATTAAGAAAATTAATAAGTATTATATTCGTAAGATTTACAATAAAAAGAATATGAAGATCAAAGAAAAAATTAGACTATTTGACATAACTGGTGTAGAAGATATTACAAATAATGTATCATCGAGAAGAAATCGAAGAAAATATAAATATTTTAAACAAAAAAATACATTAATAGAAACATAAAATTCAATATAAATTATTTAAAATATAAATTAAAACAAGACCTGCGCATATGCGCGGGGTTCTCTCATAGTATAATTAAATATCATTGAATTTTTACGTCTTTGTTTTAAATCTCTAGGCAAGGCATTTTTGATGATATTGGATTATATGTATGTGATTTTAACTAAAAATATATTTTTTTTTCTCGGGAGTTATTTGAGAGAATTATAACAAAGGACGAAAAAGGAAGATGCAGAAAAAAAGTTCAAGCGTAAATGTTGTAGAGAAGAGGAAATTGAAAAAAAATATGTAGAAGCTTGGAAGATGATTTGAACTGTCCTGATTTAACATGGGACATTCACATGCCCAATACATATTCTTGATCAGACCGAGGTTGAATTAAATTAAATAAACACTACATTAAATTTTTTTTAAAAAAATGATACAAAACTTAGCAAGATAGCTAGACTCTTATTTTGAATCTTAAAAAAAATCATTTGTTTCGATAACTCTAAAAAACCTAGAAAAATAAAATATTGAATAAGCTTGATCCACCGAAATAGTGAAGTCACATACAGTCCTCCTCCTTCGTGGCACACCAATAAAAACGATTGTAACGGTTTGCTAGGTAATTTCGAATCTCTTTTTGCCAGCACGATACAAACCCAATCATGATGATGATGAAGACAAGGACGCCGGTTATGATATAATCACGAGTATTCATGTTTTGCTCCCTACAACACAACAAGTTGTTTGATCGATGAATGCCTTTAACAAACAAAAGAAAAGAAAAAACTTTAGGTTATGGTTTGTCTTTCTTCATCTAGACAATTGTATATATATATACATACACCCGTTTGTCTAAAAAGGAAATTTATATATTTTCCAGTTTCAAAAAGTAAAATGTATATTATTTTTTTCTTTCTGTTTTTGTGAAATAAATGGAACATATCCTTTGATTTTAAGGGTGATACGTTCAAAAAAGAGTATGTTCCATTTATAAGACTATCTCCAACAAAGGTCTTTGGCCCAGTGTTTTAGGAGGAAAAGAGTAAAAAAAAAGAATTAATTGGTTCTTTTAAGGGGCGACCCTTATATAGGGGATTTTAGGATCGCTCCTTATATCAGGTGGAAGATGGTGATTAGCTGAACTTTAGAGACAATTTCTCTCCTCTAAGTAAAAGTGTTTGATCTTTTTTTTCACTTTTCTATTTTTATTATAATATTCTTAAGGGATTTTTAGTAAGCCTCTCTATTGGACATGGCCTGAGGCTATTTCCATTTATACGAAATCATAAGGTTTTTTTTCTTTAAAAAAAAAAAGAATCATAGGATTCAAAACAAGAGGGCTATTAGGTTTGGGCGCGCCAGGCCCAGAAGATCAGTCCAGGACAAGCTTGTCGGTAGATCTCTCTCTGTCGCCGAGAAATGGCAACAAGCAACAGCTCCGTCGTCTCAATATCCACACGAGTATCATCTCAGCTTCTTTTCTTCATAATCGGATTTTTACATTTCCTCTTTCTTATGCTAAAACCATCTGCTGTCAATTTTCTCTCGGTTATAAATACTAGCTAAGTGAAAACATTCAGCAAGATTTCTTGTACTTTTTTAAAATAGATAATATTTCATAAATATAAAAACTATGCATGATTCCATACCACTATTTTGTGATAGATTTTTATACAACGGAGAAAGGATTAATTAAGGCATTATATATCAAATTCAAGGTGACATCTCTTAGTAATTTTGACTTGGAACCCATGCTTCATGTAAAATATAAAACCAGGCTCTGGCTCTATCTTCTGTCCTTTAATAGCCTCATTATAAGAAAACAAGGATAAATGCCACGGAAATACCAATTGTAAAATGGTGGAAAAAATCTATTTTTGACTATTTTTCAAGAAAACCAAAATGGTGGGAAATCGATCATTGCAAATTTAAAATGGTAGAGAATTCATGGGAAATTTCTCACTAAAATTTTGTTACAAAAACGGTCGAGAATATAGGTGGAAAAGCTGTCAGGAATTAGCCACTGTTTTTGTGACGGTTAGCCAACCAAATTTCACATGGTTTGCCAACCAAACATTCTCACGGTTTGCCAACCAAAGACCCCCTATACTTTTTCCACGGTGTCCGCATTAATATCAACGTTTTGTAACACCTCGATGGCCACTGTCTTCATTAGAGTCATAGCTAAATGCTTACCAGGACAAGTTCTTGGACCGGCATTAAACGATAAGAACTTGAAGGGAGGTTCATGTCTCAAAAATCCTATCCGTGAAATCCATCTGTCTGGCTTAAATTCTAATGCATCTTCTCACCAAACCGCTCTCATCCTCCGCAACGCGTAAAGAAAATTCATGATCGTTGAGTTTGCATCTACTTTATGCCCACTTGGAAGCAAGTCTGGTTTTATAGATGACTTGCGTTGGAAGGAACTGGTGGATAGAGCCTCATTGATTCATACAACGCACCTTGTAAATACACCAACTTGTCTAAGTTTTCTTCGCCATTTTTTCTGGTTTCGAGAATAGTTTGCTAAAATCTCTTAGTGAATCTTGGTTACCACTCGAGGGTTCTCAGATAAAACCAAAAATGAACCAAGTGAGAATGGATGCCACTGAGTCTCTCCCAGCTATATTGAAGCCAAGATGCTGTCTCTCAAGAATTTATCATCACTTGGGTTTAAGAGCTCGTACTTGGGTAGATCAAGCTTTATGTGACATTTATCCTCACTTTCACCATTTGATTGATGATGATCAATACTTTTTGA